GCCTCGGTCAGGAGAACAGGGTGTTCTTCCGGGGCCACACGGAGTTCATTGTAAAATGTATGGTGCCAGATCTTCTCCATGTCGTCCCAGTTGGTGACGATGCCGTGTTCGATTGGATACTTGAGGGTGAGCATACCTCTTTTGCTCTGGGCCTCGTCTCCTACATACGTATCCTTCTGCCCCATACCCACCATGACACCCTGAACAGAAAATTCAAATTGATATATAGCCAAAGAAATATGATTGGGTACAATTTAAAACACGTTAGTTGAGGGCACCTGATCCCACCTCTATATTATGCCAGCCTAGAATTACTCATTCTAAATTAACACCGATTTACCTTGAATTTGCTATACATAAGCTGTTTTTGAATTCAGGAGAGAGTATTTGATATACACTTTAACAAATGGAAATAGTTTATTATATGATTGAATAATTTCTGTCTTTCTGATTGGCTGAGATCCAACAATATAGAAAAATACTATATTATATTCACCTGTACGTGACCTTCCAGGTGAATATAAGGATTTGTTTTCTCTACATTGGTGTAAAAATAGATCAGGAAATTCCAAATTGATACAAATAGTTTTGGAAAGCTATTTCACTTGCTACCGACTTCCACTCGGAGCTCCTCGGGTGGCTCGTACCTCGCACACTGTTTGTATGGAGCGTACCGGAGTCAGCCGAGGATAGCCGATTGACCGACTTCCACTCAGGTAAACATAACATTAGGGAATATAATTTGGGGTGATGCTTGTGGGGGTAGGGGTTGGAGACCTCCGTCCCCTCAAACTTAGCCAATGGTGCGAAGCTACCATCTGAGGGATTATGACTGAACGCCTCTAAGTCAGAATCTCGCCCACTTTTTTTTCTGAACGTAATTTTTTATTTTTAATTTAGACTAAAAATATTCATTGAAAGATGGTCCCCCACTAATGGACCTTAATTCCCAACCTCTAATCCCACCCCAACCCTAAAACAAAATTTGAAATTAAAAGAATTCACTTTTCATGGTGGCCAATCAAAGATTTTTTCAGCTGTCATTTTCTCGTGATAATGCCCCCTCCCCTTTCAAAATCTATTCTATAAATAAGCCTGACATAAATTTTTTTTCATGACAACTAAAGTAGATTTAAAAAATTACAAATTAATACGACTGGTAATGTTTATTTAACTCCGCTTCCCTCATTGCATTTAGATAGGACTTCAGCAAATGTAAACAAGTAAGGTGGCTTATTGAATAATGAGTTCGTATCATTTAATTATTGAATCATATAATAAAACAATTATTGCTATTTTTTTCAGTCAATACAATGATTTAGCCACCTTCGAAGTACAATATTCACCTCGCCCTTCAGGTTCGGTGAATATTGTACTCTTCAGGTGGCTAAATAACCTTATTGACCTAAAAAAACAGCAATAATTGTATATAAGTCATCATAGCTTCTTAATAAAACATTTAAAATCAGTGTGTACGTGTCTTTAAATCTTTAGCAATAGTGCAATAAAAAAGTTTGACCATTTAACACTTATAGTTACCGATATGTACAATACGATGTCTTAAAAATGAATAAAAGTCAACATAAGGAGTCATTATCTTACTTGATATCTTGGGCGTCCAATAATTGAGGGAAACACAGCCCTGGGAGCATCGTCTCCGGCGAATCCAGCTTTGCACATTCCAGACCCATTGTCAATTACTAAAGCTGCAATGTCGTCGTCAACCATTTTTACACCGTTTTAAGAATGTAGTTGCTTCAAATTTACTAGAAAGACTGTTCTATCCAATATCGGGTATAGTCCATTACTTATATATGTGCCACAACACCTGTTTCGTCAACAAGGTCCATATATGGGAGAGGACAATACCTAGGTTCTCGGAACTTCTGACCAATCCGTTTGACATATTGTTCATAAAATAAGTTAAAAAACCATATATGGAAATCAAAACAGGTATACCAGGCTTGCTGATACATTTACTTATCATAGCTATATACAGGATTTGTTGTCACTTCTAAAAGTAGACTATCAAAAGAGAAATATATTACTGACAAAATTCAATAATTCAAAGGGCGATTTTTTTTCTTCATTCTGTAATAATTCTAATATAGTATCAATTTTTGAACAGTTTATTCACAAGATATTTATATATTTACATATATATTTATTCTTTATTTTTCAAATAACCGTTCATACAAAGACTGTGTAAGTTCATTATCTCCAAATAAGGTAAGATTTAAAATGTGTCGATCGGCAGGTATTTTTAGAAATGACATTCACAGCAGTTGAGAAGTATGTACTACACCGCTGTCAAAGATCTAAAAATTAACATAAAGGTTATACAAATCTGATTTTTGGAAAGTATCAAAAATCTTTCGATTATAAATAGATATTCTATTTAATGATACGATTATCTGTTCCATAAGTTACAATTTACCTGATTACTGAAGCAGAGTAGCCTGCCCATTCCAAACTCGATTGTAATCAATATTTGTATACTTTGAACAATTTTTTTCTCTATGGATAGTCACTAGGTACCCCTAAATTATCATTTAAATTTTTCCCTATATAACTATATAAAAAAGGTCATATTTAAACTTAAGCACCAAAATTAAAATTCATTTCTTTTATAAATATTTATTTTTTAATCGTGTCAGTCGTCAATTGTGCTCATTTCTTGTAAGATAATTCTGCAGAAATTGTGAGTTTTAGTACAAAGATCATGTTCATCATTCTCCAACATATGATGATACTCTGCTGTAGAGAATATTTGATACTTACATTCACAGAATTTATATAATGTGCCCATTTTAATTAAAGTTTATAGATTAGTGCCAAGCCTCGGAATAATTTTTACGTAGAAAAGAAAATGCAACACAATAACAGATGGAAAAACAAGATGTGTTTGTGAAACACTGATGCCCCCGTATGGCAGCTTATGGCGAAGGTTAAAGTTTCTCAAATGCAAGTCAAAATCTAGGCCAAAAGATAAAAAATGTTAAATTTGAAAGCCCTAGCTGCAACTGTTCAAAAGTTACGGCCAAGGTTAAAGTTTTTCGAAAGTAGGTCAAACTCCTATGTCAAGGTCAAAGTGGTTGGTATCCAAAGGAAGGTCTTGTCACAAGGATTACATATGTGAAGTATGAAAGCCCTAGCACCAACCATTCAAAAATTATGGCCAAGGTTAAAGTTTTTCAAAAGTAGGTCAAACTCCAATGTCAAGGTCAAAGTGGTTGGTATTCAAAGGAAGGTGATGTCACAAGGATTACAAATGTGAAGTATGAAAGCCCTAGCACCAACCATTCAAAAGTTATGGCCAAGGTTAAAGTTTTTTAAAAGTAGGTCAAACTCCTAGGTCAAGGTCAAAGGATCAAAGAGGTTGATATCCAGGGAAAGGTCTTATCACAAGGAATACACATGTGAAGTTTGAAACCCCAAGCACCAACTGTTCAAAAGTTATGGCCAAGGTTAAAGTTTTTCAAAACTAGGTCAAACTCCAAGGTCAAGGTCAAAAGGTCAAAGTTGTTGGTATCCAACGGAAGGCCTTATCACAAAGAATACACATGTGAAGTTTGAAACCCCAAGCACCAACTGTTCAGAAGTTATGGCCAAGGTTAAAGTCTCATAAAATTTTGCAAAAGTGGGTCAAACTCCAAGGTCAAGGTCAAAAGGTAAAATATGATGGTACCCAAAGAAAGGTCTTGTCACAAGGAATACACATGTGAAATATGAAAGTCATAGCTCCAACCAATCAAAAGTTATGGGCAAGGTTAAAATTGACAACAGACAAACAGATAAACAGACAAACAGACAGACAGGACAAAAACAATATACCCCCAGGATCTTTCGATCCGGGGGCATAATAAGCTACTGGAATATCATGGGACAGATTAAACCTATCGATACATTTGCTCTTTACAACTTTATGAACTCAACATTTGAATGAAATGCTATACCTTTTTAACACCATTTGTTTAGGGGACGACCATTTGATTCTTAACGGAGGAAAAAAAAGAGACTGATATATTTTGGAAATAAATAATCTGTACATGTCTTCAAATGGTCAGAAAATAAATAATTTGTCCTTGTCTTGCCCCCCCCCCCCCCCCCGGCGTTTCGCATTTTCTGTTTTTTTTTCATTTTCCCTTCTTGTTAGACTTTTTCCATTGAAGCAGAAAAATAATCTGTGCCCGATCACCTTGGGAAAAATTAATCTGTACTTTACTGGGATGGAAAAATATATGCCCCCTCCGATTCAAATGGTCATCCCCAAATAGTTTTTAGTACTTAATATCCCAAATCATATACTCAAGAAGACCTAAATAGACAATTTTGCTAAACTGTAGATTAAATCTTTTGCCCATGTAAGAAAATCCTTTTGAAAGTGAAATCTAGTCTAGAGCTTATCAGTAAAATTATGCATTCAGTAAATTAAATGAAAGAACATACATAGGACAAAACATATTTCCTTTCAGGTTCACCAACTTATAAATTGTCCAGGAAATTTACTTAAAATACTGAGAGAGAGAGAGAGAGAGAGAGAGAGAGAGAGAGAGAGAGAGAATGAGAGAGAAGCTTAGGATCCCCAGATCTTCAAATGACCTCTCAATAATATTTCAAGTTTTTCAGAGAACACAAAATATTCAGAACTTAGAGATGTCTTAGAGATGAACTTGTCTCACAGGAGACTATCAGAGATCGATCTCTGCTTGAGAGAGTTCTAGGAGATTGATTTGAAAAGACTGGCCCAGTTATATCCTCCATTTTTCATAGTTCAAGGGCATTGTGCTCCGATTACTCTCCACAAATGGTTACCCAAATACGGACTTCTTGTGGATTTCTAAGATCATGAAGAGATCTACAAGTTTTATATGCACCACAGATTTTCTCAATGAAATAAAAGTGGTTAAAGGGCCTTTAAAGGTATTCATACATTTTAAGTATCTCTCCTCTGACCTTAGTAAAACTGAAATCCAAGTTTCTACTGCATAAAATTGATGTAAAAGTTTTTAAAAAATTTTATTGCTGGTAGAAATGACAAGCTTTTGACAGGTCTTATTAAGCATTCAATGTTACATCATACCTAGCTTTTGATGTTTTTAAAGTATATTAATAGAAAGGTACAATTCTGCATTTATCATATATGCATTCTATGTGTACTTGAGATATTCACATAAAAATATCAACTTGTTCCAGATACCAAACAAATATTCAGGATTGCTCTAACCAAAAAATTACAAAATTAATACGGGTATACATTAAAAAAATGATTGTATGTATCTTAACTTCTATCAAAATGTCATGTAAATCTCACATACACTGTGTAGTATTCCAAAATGTACACGTAGCAATGTATTTTCCATAATTATTTACATGTACAGTGGAATATCCAGTTCCTGAAAGCACTGCAAAAAGCTATTTTCTGAGGAAATAAATATGACTTTCATGTTTGCTTCTTTGGACAAAAAATGCTACATAATAATTTTATAATACCGGGTTTCTATAGCTGATCATAATTCAATATATCAGTAGTGCTTAATCAAGATTTATCAAAAATCTAAAAATCTTAGTCTGAGCTAATTACATACTGCAACCCAGCTATTATTTATATTTATTTACTCATTAGAGATAAGCCATATTTGCCAACACCTATCTAATGAAATATAGTTTCACAAATATTACAAACACAGCATTAATCAAAGACATTATTCTTAGCATACATAATTAAACATTGCTGATATACATGTACTAGCTGGTTTATAGTACACATATTTTAATTAAATACTTTTGCTATGAAAACAGGACTTTAAGGTAATACAAATTCAACAGTCATGAATTCCCTCATCAGACTATAAAATAAAACAGTGTAAACAGATTGTACAAGGGAGTTAACAATTGAGCACTACTGTATGATATGTCTAAGTACTAAATACAGCCTTTCTGGTCGATTCCATTGTTTCGTCTATGAAGTGTCGTTGTTATAGCTTGACATAGTGCCATTTGTTGACTGAAACAAAACATGAAAATAATTAAAGATTTTGAAATATACGAGAATTCACTTTCATAGTAATAAATGTAACTATATATTCTTACAATTATCTAAATATGGACAAAAAACGTACAAATTTCATGTCATAGCACTTTCTAAGGTTATTTCTGTAATTATCATGGAGTCAATTGTGTTTTCATTCTAACCTACCACTTTATTACTTTATACAATTTAACAGAGCTTTAAATTTACTTATTTATCTAATAAATCAAAAAGTCTTACTCTCGTCAGCTAATGGTTTTGCAGTTCCTAGTTGTGGTTGCTGGATAGATACAGAAAACATAATGTACAGTAACTATATAAACCATTATAAAGCTAAATCAGTTGATAAAGAAACATTCTAAAGTACTTTTTGCACTAAGTCAGTAAGGCTTTATCTAGAATCTTGTTTTCTAAATACAATAATTCACTAATACTTATACTTACATTGTCAATGATTTTCTTAGCATCTTCTGGTGAAATTTTGTATGGGCTACTGGCCACAGATGTGTTCTCACTGAAACGTTACAACAAAATAATGAGTTGCATTAAGAAACCCCCGAGAATCAATGAAAATTACCGCTATTAAAACAAAATCTTTCTAGTTCTCAATCTTCTGAAACATACAATATTTTTTAAAGACCCTTATCATGTTTGTAAACAAAAATTTCAAGAATACAATGTTAATTGATAAAACTTCTAAAAACATTGATTAATTTAAAAGAAAAAAAAAAAACACTGGTTATTTTGCAATTAAAATCCGGAATTTTCATCATATTTTAACAGCTCTTTATTTGGTTTAGTTTAAGGTAGAAGGCAAAGCTTGCCTTCATTATAAGATGAAGGTTGAAAAAAAAAATCAAGAAGAAGCAAGAACTTCATCACCAACATTTGTACTGTATTTTATAAACACTGTATAATAATTATTTGTAAATTCTGTCTTTTGTATTCCATTACTGTGTTACATAGTACCAGAACTTTTAATACATTGACTGTCCATTCTATATGATCCAGTCACTCAAGTGTAATGTACAACTAAGTACTCTTGGTATATTCACTACCACGCATCTGTCAAATACCACTTACCATGACAGACCGTTATTTTCACATTCTTTGCCAATTAATTTTTGCCACTGTTGATTACACTCTTTAACAACCTTCATGGCATACTCCTGTAAAAAAAAAAGTCCTTCAATCAAATTATTAACCTATATACACTTCACTGCAAGTTTTTTTTTTTTTTTTTTAGAAATCAGCAATATTTCTCACAGATTTATATTCAAGTACGTAACCTAGGCCTTTCAACTGCCGCTAGGGTTCGATGAAAAGAACGATAACCCATTACCGGAACTTGTTTAGAGCGGGTCCGAGGAAGCTAATTGTTTTCAAGGATGTCATGTTTTAGCATTTCCCAAGTGTTCCTTCACTGTCAGGGAAATCCAGTGGTTTTAAAATTTAGCTCAAATGTTCAACTTAATTATCATGTAGTTACCGACACTGTACAAAAAATATATAAGTGAAATTTTTAATAAAAATATAAGTGAAATCCATCCCCCTTCTTAATTTTGACCTGATTAAATTTTTATACTTGATCGTTCTTCTTCGTGCTTAGTGAAAAGAATAAAATAATTTATGGTTGCATTTAATTGTAGAAATACTTATCTTTATAGATGAAGCACAACAATGCACAAACAAAAAACATGGCATTATATTTTCTTCTTCATAACAACTGTTAGGGAGAGTTAAAAATCTTGAATATAGTCCGTTCCCCATTCATTGATCCCGTTATTCCAGGTATAGATTGAAGACATTCTCCTTGTTTTGGTCAACCCTTTTGTGTACCAAAGAATATAAGGAACCCTTTTGTGTACATAACAATACCAATTGAAGCAGCCTATATGTCATTCCTATAAATGATAACTCAAAAATCGGCACTTTGTTGGTCATGTTTTACACTTGAGTTACCTGTCCTTAAAACACCACATCGTACAAATCAAATATTAATAATCATTTTTTTATGACTTAATTAAAGGTATCTATAGATTATAATCTTTTTTTGAGAATTCCACATACCTACAAATATATCTATCAATTGTTTTTTACCATACGTATAACTTGAAAAATTAGTTGAAAGGCCTACGTAACCTGAATAATGTTTACCAGTAAAAGTGGGAGAACTCTGTAAGATTTTCTCACAATGTTAAAAATATATATATATATATGCAAAATTTGTACAGAATTACATAGAAAACAAAACAAAGTCACATAATTAAGCACCAAAGAAAACTTACGATTTCTTGATATTTTAGGGATTTATTATATATGTCATTTCTCATCAGAATCAGTCAAAAAATCTATATCAATCCAGGCATCAAAATTTTGTTTGTGTTACATGTGTATGTATCCTTAAATCATGTATTATTATGTATATTAGAGAGGCAGTAAAATATGTTTAACCGTTAAATATGTACAGTATTTAGAGGGGGAACTATGACAATATTCCAAAAATTCAAAAAACAGAAGAAAGAGTAAAAATTGACCATAACATGATATCATTACAAATGCCAAAGCTTGTATTGTTATATTAGCTTGTCATCCTACATATAAATTTGGTAGCACAAAAGTTCAACAATGACATTAACACATGCTGGATTTTGTGTCACTGAAAAAACATATGTAGATTATAAATGTATGTTAATTATGTGTAACAGCATCTTCGCTAGCCAAGGGTTTCCAGTCCGAAATTTATTTTGGATCAGAAACCCTTGGATAGCGAAGATGGTGTAACAAAACACCTACAGTCAACTGTGTAAAAAATACGTATAAAAGGAACAGCGAATATCATTAATAAACAATATCTGATGATTGCCCCAAAATTGTAGACAATGTTTATAAGTTTGTAAACATTCAACTAATCGTTACCAATTTTTGTGTGAATATCATTTATTAAATGTCACTTAAAATAGTGAATTCTTAAAATAAATATCTTTCATAGTAATAATATTATGACGGTTTATAAGGCTGATTTAATGACAGTTCAACTCATCATTGATGAAAGAAAAGTGAGCAAGCTCACATACCCCACGCTTCCCCAAAACTTGATAATGCAACACATAATGAAATCCACGGTGCACTTAAAATACAAAGTATAATTCAAAAAGGGGAATACTTGCAAAAATCTTCTCATCAAAACTCCTTTCATTTAAGGACATTCAAATCTTATGAAATTATTTAAGGCAAAGCACTAATTTGATGTGTGTATGTGCATTTGTGTGTGTGTGTGTGTGGGGGGGGGGGGGGGATTTTTGTGTACTTCTATCCAAGATTTTTTGTAGGTGTGTGTTGAATCATTAATATTTTGATCTCAACATGAATAGGGGTCTTTTAAGGTCCAAAAATATTTCACATACAATTTCACTGTTAAAGCTGATTCCAGTGTATTTCCTTATTACGTGGCTGGAAAGTTTCTTCAATAATATCCAAAACTCTAAGGCCAACAAGAGGCCCAAGGGCCTTAATGGTCACCTGAGTATAATACAACAATTTAGAGGATCCATAGAGTATAAAATGAACTGAAAGGTGAAGCTTTGTTGCCCAAAAGCAAGAAAAATAGGGTGATCAGGATCAACAAAATAATTAGTCTAGTTTTCATTAACAGTTCATAAATTAGGTTCTAATCTGTTCCCCATTTATCACTATCACCATACAGTACATTAACAAATTATCAGTGATTCTGTACCATTTTAATTCCTTGATGAAATCTCTTACATTGGACTCTTTTGGTCTTTGATGAACATTGAATTAGACAAGTTATTTTTGTCTCATTTTTTATTTATCTATTACTTACAAGTCTACCTAATCATTTAAACTATAAAAGTACTTTATGTATTATACAATAAATAATCTTGCATACTTCTCCTATTCTATTAACCTTTCAAGTACATTATTTACAGTGATTAATTATCAAAAGTAAATGGCAAAGGGGAGGAAAACTCCCCTCAGTTGAAAACAAATTAATAGAGCCCTGGCCAGGACCAGAACACTTGACCAAATGGTCCAGATGTTCAAAAATCTTTATTAAAACTTTTACTCTTTTTGCCTCTGATATGACCAGGTGCAGAGAAGATTTTCCAAAAAAAAATAATGCATTTTTACTACAGATTCACTATATTATCAATAGACCCCCCCCCCCCCCCCCTCTCCCTAGCACCAGAACCCCTGACCTTGGGGCCATGAATTTCACGATTTTGGTAGAGTAACCCTTGCTTATCATAACTATGTATTCAATTTGTTTCAATAATACCCAGGAGTAGAGAAGAAGATTTTCAAAGAAATAATGCATTTTCACTATATGATCTATATAGCCCTACCCTAGCACCAGAACCCCTGACCCTGGGGCCATGAATTTCACAATTTTGGTAGAGTCACCCTTGCTTATCATAACTATGTATTCAATTTGTTTCAATAATACCCAGGAGTAGAGAAGAAGATTTTTCAAAGAAATAATGCACTTTCACTATATGATCTATATAGCCCCGGCCTAACACCAGAACGCCGGACCCTGGGGCCATGAATATCACAATTTTGGTAGAGTCTCCCTTGCTTATCATAACTATATATTCAATTTGTTTCAATTATACCCAGGAGTAGAGAAGAAGATTTTTCAAAGAAATAATGCACTTTCACTATATCTTCTATATAGCCCCGCCCTAGCACCAGAATCCCTGACCCTGGGACCATGAATTTCACAATTTTTGAAAAAGTATCCTTGTGCACCATTACTATGCACTTAGGTTGTTTAAATAATACCCAGGAGCAGAGAAGAAGATTTTCAAAGAATTAATGCATTTTCACTATATAATCAATAGAGCCCCGCCCTACCACCAGAACCCCTGACCCAGGGGCCATGAAATTCTCAATTTTGGAAAAGGCATCAATGCTTATCATAAACATGCACTTAGTTTGTTTATATAATATCCAGGAGTAGAGAAGAAGATTTTCAAAGAATTAATGCATTTTCACTATATAATCAATAGAGCCCTGCCCTACCACCAGAACCCCTGACCCAGGGGCCATGAAATTCACAATTTTGAAAAAGGCATCAATGCTTATCATAACCATGCACTTAGTTTGTTTATATAATATCCAGGAGCAGAGAAGAAGATTTTCAAAGAATTAATGCATTTTCACTATATAATCAATAGAGCCCTGCTCTACCACCAGAACCCCTAACCCTGGGGCCATGAATTTCACAATTTTGGAAAAATCATCCTTGTGCACTATTATCATGCACTTAGTTTGTTTAAATAATACCCAGGAGCAGAGAAGAAGACTTTCAAAGAATTAATGCATTTTCACTATGTAATCAATAGAGCCCCGCCCTTACACCAGAACCCCCAACCCTGGGGCCATGAATTTCACAATTTTGGAAAAGGCATCATTGCTTGTCATAATCATGCACTTAGTTTGTTTAAATAATACCCAGGAGAAGAGAAGAAGATTTTCAAAGAAATAATGCACTTTCACTATATGATCTATATAGCCCCACCCTAGCACCAGAACCCCTGACCCTGGGGCCATGAATTTCACGATTTAGGTAGAGGGCCCAATGCTTATTACAATCATGCAAACAGTTTGACTGCTTGATGTCCAGGAGTAAAGAAGAAGATTTTTAAAGATTGCATCAATTTTGGTGGTTTTAGCCCCACCCCTGGGGCCCCAGGGGGGCAGGGACCATGAAATTCACAATTTTTGTTCCCCTTCACCCAAAGATGCTATATGCCCAAATTGGTTGAAATTGGTTGAGCGGTTCTAGAGAAGAAGTTGAAAATGTTCAAAAGTTAACGCACGACGACAGACAAAAACGGATAGCAATAGGTCACCTGAGTGACTCGGGTGACCTAAAAATAATGGAATCGTAATTTCCTGGCAATATGCACAACTACACACTGTGTCCTAAATATCTGCAAAGTTTGACGAAATTCTGTGCAACGGTTTACGAGGAGTTGCGCTGACAAACTGTTCATCTCTATATTTAAGATATGGCCAAAAATCTAAGTTGAAAAGTGCCTAGATTCCCAGAAAAATAAAGGAATCAGAATTTCCTGGCAATTTGCACATCTACACACTGTGCTCTAAATAACTACATTTAGTTTGACGAAATTCTGTGCAGCAGTTTAAGAGGAGTTGTGCTGACAAACTGCTCATCTCTATATTCAGTATATGGCCAAAAATCTAAGTTGAAAAATGTGGAAATTCCTAGAAAAATAAGGGAATCGTAATTTCCTGGCGATATACACAACTACACACTGTGTCCTATATATCTACAAAGTTTGACGAAATTCTGTGCAGCGGTTTAAGTAAGAGGAGTTGCGCCGACAAAAAACAGGGCTGACAGACTGACTGACTGCCGTACGGAAGGGTAAAAAACATTATACACCCCGCAACTTGTTGCGTGGGGTATAAAAATAGAAAGGCCTTAGAAGTAATGATTGTCAATTTCAGAGGAGGAATGTTAGGAGGAAAGTTATGTGTCTTGTTACACTACAAGTATTTTCTGTCTTTTACATGTACAATGTTAGAAGAAATTTCAAGAACTGAGATTTAAATATGATCATGAAAGAAGGACAGTGGTGTATTTTAACATGTCCATGATTCAAGAGTGGTTTATCAGTGTATTTGGAAATCAATGAAAAATCCCATGAGACGTGTTGTGCACAAATGCCAGTATTTTTAAAAAGAATGATCATGTTTTAAGAAATGTCAAACGTTTGCTTTTGTGTGCCAGCTTACATTCATATGCTTTCTTTATTTTTATATTATTTTCTTATCAAATATGTTTTAACTATGAAACTTGAAATTCATGATCATTAAATGTTGCTTTTTATTATGATAAGAAAAAAAAAAAGACATGTTGGCAAAGAGAAACTAAATGATTGCCCTGTCTTCAACTTTTTGGGACAACCCTTCTAATTTTATGTAATACCAATTCATCTTCCATTTCTGAAGAAAATATCTAGCTACCTTATTTTTCGCTTCACCATTGAAAGCAAATTGATTTTCTGGTTTGCCATCTGGAATCTTGTAAATTCTAAACCATTCATAAGTTGCCTGAAAAAAAATTATGAAACTTCATAAAAGATTTCTACAACAATACTGATCAACATGGGGTTGTTCAAATTAAATATGGTTTTTGAGCCTATGTCAAACATTTACTATGAATCAAATACATTTCAAGACAGGCCTTATTTCATACATTTTCACCTATCAAAACTGTTAACAACAGGGGTTTGTATATAATGCAACCTTGTACACAAGAAGTATCTCTGATGAGACTGAAGCTCTACTGGGTTGTACTTATAATAGACTGGAGGGTGGGGGTTGAGGGGGATGCACAAAATTAAGTATCTTGATGTTTTTCTACATTTGACCAAAATTTAATTGAATCAAATCAAAACTATAGTAAAAAAAACCTTGAAAGATTTTCACACACATTTAGTAACTGTGGCAACACCTTTCATGGAAATAAAAAACAAGAGGCCCAAGGGCCTTAACGGTCACCTGAGTATAATACAACAATTTAGAGGATCCATAGAGTATAAAATGAACTGAAAGGTGAAGCTTTGTTGCCCAAAAGCAAGAAAAATAGGGTGATCAGGATTAACAAAATAATTAGTCTAGTATTCATTAACAGTTCATAAATTAGGTTCTAATCTGTTCCCTATTTATCACTCTCACCAGACAGTATATTAAGAAACTATCAGTGCTTCTGTACTCTTTTAATTCCTTGTGGAAATCTCTTACATTGGCCTGAGTAAGACTCTTGGTCTTTGATGAACATTTAAGGTACTGGTATTCCATCCCTAATAGCCTCAGATTCAATGAATTTGAATACATAACAGATGTGTACGGGTGGAATACTCAGTATATTTAGACATAATCTCCATTTATTACTATTAGCATGTAAGAATGGAAGTGTCCTAATTTATGACTTGACCTTTGTTGAAGAGTTATCTCCCTCTTTTTTTAAGTAATAAAAATCAATTTTAAAAAAATATACGGTAAAAAAATTGTTTTCAATTGTCATTCTATTTCTAATGATTTAATGGACCTTTCCACCACAGTAGTTATTGATATTCTTATTATCTGAATTTTTATTTTAAAAAAATCACTTGTCTCCATAGACTTCAATGCAATTTCTATTAATTAAATACTGCTCAGTTAATTACGTTTTTGAAACTTTCACTTGGTAAATCCTTTTTTATTGTAAAGTTCTTTGAATTAATATCAGAGTATTATATACGTGATTGATATTTAAGGATAGAGAATTAGTTCCTATTAGGGATGGAAAACCTTAATAAGACAAGTCTACCTGATCATTAAAACTATGAAAGTACTTTTTGTATTATACAATAAAAATTCTTGCATAATTCTCTTATTCTATTAACCTTTCGAGTACATTATTTACAGTGATTAATTATCACAAGTAAATGGCAAAGGGGAATAACTCCTCTCAGTAGAATACAAATTAATAGAGCCCTGGTCTGGACTAGAACACTTGACCAAATGGTCTTGATGTTCAAAAATCTGGTAAAAATATGCTTCCTTATTAAAACTTTTACTCTTTTTGCCTCTGATATGCCCAGGTGCAGAGAAGATTTTTAAAGCATTAATGCATTTTCACTATATAATAAATAGAGTCCCGCCCTAACATCAGAATCTCTGATCCAGGGGTCATGAAATTCACAAATTTGGAAAAGGCATCCTTGCTTATCATAACCATGTATTTGTTTAAATAATACCCAGGAGAAGAGAAGAAGCTTTTCAAAGAAATAATGCACTTTCACTATATGATCTATATAGCCCCGCCCTAGCACCAGAACCCCTGACCCTGGGGCCATGAATTTCACAATTTTGGTAGAGTCACTCTTGCTCATCATAACTATGTATTCGATTTGTTTCAATAATACCCAGGAGTAGAGAAGAAGATTTTCAAAGAAATAATGCACTTTCACTATATGATCTATATAGCCCCGCCCTAGCACCAGAACCCCTGACCCTGGGGCTATGAATTTCACAATTTTGGTAGAGTTACTCTTGCTTATCATAACTATGTTTTCAATTTGTTTCAATAATACCCAGGAGTAGAGAAGAAGATTTTCAAAGAAATAATGCACTTTCATTATATAATCAAAAGAGCCCCACCCTAGCACAAGAACCCCTGACCCAGGGGCCATGAATTTCACAATTTTGGTAGAGTCACTCTTGCTTATCATAACTATGTATTCAATTTGTTTCAATAATACCCAGGAGTAGAGAAGAAGATTTTCAAAGAAATAATGCACTTTCACTATATGATCTATATAGCCCCGCCCTAGCACCAGAACCCCTCAACCCCGGGGCTATGAATTTCATAATTTTGGTAGAGTTACTCTTGCTTATCATAACTATGTATTCAATTTGTTTCAATAATACCCAGGAGTAGAGAAGAAGATTTTCAAAGAAATAATGCACTTTCACTATATCTTCTATATAGCCCCGCCCTAACACCAGAACCCCTCACCCTGGGGCCATGAATTTCACAATTTTGGTAGAGTCACCCTTGCTCATCATAACTATGTATTCAATTTGTTTCAATAATACCCAGGAGTAGAGAAGAAGATTTTCAAAGAAATAATGCACTTTCACTATATGATCTATATAGCCCCGCCCTAGCACCAGAACCCCTGACCCTGGGGCTATGAATTTCACAATTTTGGTAGAGTTACTCTTGCTTATCATAACTATGTATTCAATTTGTTTCAATAATACCCAGGAGTAGAGAAGAAGATTTTCAAAGAAATAATGCATTTTCATTATATAATCAAAAGAGCCCCGCCCTAGCACCAGAACCCCTGACCCAGGGGCCATGAATTTCACAATTTTGGTAGAGTCACCCTTGCTTATCATAACTATGTATTCAATTTGTTTCAATAATACCCAGGAGTAGAGAAGAAGATTTTCAAAGAAATAATGCACTTTCACTATATCTTCTATATAGCCCGCCCTAACACCAGAACCCCTGACCCAGGGGCCATGAATTTCACAATTTTGGTAGAGTCACTCTTGCTTATCATAACTATGTATTCAATTTGTTTCAATAATACCCAGGAGTAGAGAAGAAGATTTTCAAAGAAATAATGCACTTTCACTATATGATCTATATAGCCCCGCCCTAGCACCAGAACCCCTCAACCCCGGGGCTATGAATTTCATAATTTTGGTAGAGTTACTCTTGCTTATCATAACTATGTATTCAATTTGTTTCAATAATACCCAGGAGTAGAGAAGAAGATTTTCAAAGAAATAATGCACTTTCACTATATCTTCTATATAGCCCCGCCCTAACACCAGAACCCCTCACCCTGGGGCCATGAATTTCACAATTTTGGTAGAGTCACCCTTGCTCATCATAACTATGTATTCAATTTGTTTCAATAATACCCAGGAGTAGAGAAGAAGATTTTCAAAGAAATAATGCACTTTCACTATATCTTCTATATAGCCCCGCCCTAACACCAGAACCCCTGACCCTGGGGTCATGAATTTCACAATTTTGGTAGAGTCACCCTTGCTTATCATAACTATGTATTCAATTTGTTTCAATAATACCCAGGAGTAGAGAAGAAGATTTTCAAAGAAATAATGCACTTTCACTATGAGATCTATATAGCCCCACCCTAGCACCAGAACCCCTGACCCTGGGGCCATGAATTTCACAATTTTGGTAGAGGGCTCAATGCTTATTACAATCATGCCAACAGTTTGACTGCTTGATGTCCAGGAGTAAAGAAGAAGATTTTTAAAGATTGCATTAATTTTGATGGTTTTGGCCCCACCCCTCAGGCCCCAGGGGGGCAGGGACCATGAAATTCACAATTTTTGTTCCCCTTCACCCATAGATGCTATATGCCAAAATTGGTTGAAATTGGTTCACTGGTTCCAGAGAAGAAGCTGAAAATGTTCAAAAGTTTACGACCGACAGACGACGACGGACGAAAAGAGATAGCAATAGGTCACCTGAGTGACTCAGGTGACCTAAAAACTGATAGGGAATTATGCATCTTGAATGCAGTGTATTTGCATATGAAGTTTTATTGAAATCTAACAGAAACTAAGGATTAACACTTTAATTTTTTTGCAGAGGGATGATAGACACTTTATAATCCACATGAACTTTCAGTGTCTTCAAGTACCTACATGTATAATATACAAAAAATTATAGGCCTCTTACTTTGAGAAACCCAGGCATGTGTTTATCTACATCTTCTATGTCTGCAAATATTAAAATAAAAAAGAATGGCTTAACTGCCTGTTATATACATGAACAATATATTTAGAAACTGACAATGTTTACAGTCCTGCATACTCTAAGCATGAGGCTAAGTACTGTATACAAAGCATAAATCTTTTACAATATTACTTTTTCTTACCATTTAATTCAGAGGCTAATGGGTCAGTCACATCAACGACAATTATCTTCCAATCTGTCTCACCTAAAAAATTTATAGGTACAATGATGAAATCAAATCCATATCTTAAATAAAACTAAAAAAAGATACAATGGTGAAGTCATATCCATATCTTAAGTAAAAAATCAAAACCAAATAGCTTTTTGTAGCAAACCCTGAAAACATTGATACTAACAATGTAATAAAGTGAGGAGTACAATAGATCAAATATATTGGATATTGGAAATTTATATACATGTATTGTATCTTGTTGTATCTACCATGGACGTACTACATGTACCTTCACTTGTTCTTTTCCATATCTTCATTTCAGAAATAAAGTAAATACCCCATTACTAAATACCAACTAGAAAACTGACCAGTCAGCAAGGCCCCCCAAGGGGTAGAAATATAAGGGTGCAGCTTATGGAATGAAAATTTTACTTGATTACAAAAATTTAAAATATATGAAGAAGAATATGCAACAGCAACTGTATTTATCAAATTTCAAGATAACTCCTAAATATCCAACAACCTGTAAATAGTACCCTTGTATTTACATAAGGCAGTAAAAAAAATCATATCTACAATAACTCAATTAAATGTATATTTAAACAAGAATAAAGCATGTGTTTTATAAAATGCCACTGTTCAGTGAATGCAAATATCACCCAGGCTTGACCTTGACTTTAAAACAAACATCAGTTGCAGACAAAGGTGTTACTTTAACTGAAAGTGTCAGATAAAGATAAGCTTCAAAAATTTTCTGCAGCAGGCAAGATAATTAATCCCAGGGGATTGTACTGCTCTCTCATCCTTTTCTTCTAAGTTTACAATAAGAACTTTTTCAGGAATGATAGAATGAGGTTATTATCAGACTACCTATTAAAATTAATAGTATTCTTGAATTTACATAAGGCAGCAAAAAAAAAAAACAAAAACAAAAACAAACAAACAAACAAAAAAAAGAAAAAAAAAGAAATTTTTTTTTATCTATATCTTTTTTATAGAATTCAATAAAATCATAACTCATTGTGTATTTTACCAAAATAAAGTATGAACATTATTTAAATCCACATTTTAAAGAATTGTAAACATCATTCAGAATTGACCTTAACTCCAAAACAAACTTCATTTGCTGACAGAGGTGTTAATTAATCTCAATGCGACAGATAAAGATAATGCTTTGCATTTTCTTCAAGAGGAAAGTTAATCAATCCCACAGGACTCATTGCAGCTTTCATAGTTTACAAAAGTAACATTCTAAGTAGTTATCTCTCTTAATCTCAATGTGACAGATAAAGATGATGCTTTGGATTTTCTTCAACAGGAAAGTTAATTAATCCCACTGGACTCAATGCAGCTTTCACAGTTTACAATAGTAACATTCTAAGTAGTTATCTCTCTTTGCCCATTCATTCTTATATAAAATTAAGGAATCTACCCCATCACCCCACCTCCACTGGATGACACAGAGAATCAAACTTAGCATCAAAATATGTCTTACTGCCTATTCAACCAACATACCAAATTTCACTTAATTGGTCAACTATAAAAACAAGATGTGTTTGTGAAACACTGATGCCCCAGTATGGAAGCTTATGGCAAAGGTTAAAGTTTCTCAAATGCAAGTCAAAATCCAGGCCAAAAGATAAAAAATGTTAAATTTGAAAGCTCTAGCTGCAACTGTTCAAAAGTTATGGCGAAGGTTAAAGTTTTTTAAAAGTAAGTGAAGCATCAAAGTCAAGGTCAAGGTTGTTGATATCCAAAGGAAGGTCTTGTCACAAGGATTACATATGTAAAGTATGAAAGCCCTAGCACCAACCATTCAAAAGTTATGGCCAAGGTTAAAGTTTTTCGAAAGTAGGTCAAACTCCTATGTCAAGGTCAAAGGGTCAAAGTGGTTGGTATCCAAACAAAGGTCTTGACACAAGGATTACATATGTGAAGTATGAAAGCCCTAGCACCAACCATTCAAAAATTATGGCCAAGGTTAAAGTTTTTCAAAAGTAGGTCAAACTCCTATGTCAAGGTCAAAAGGTCAAAGTGGGTGGTATCCAAAGGAAGGTAATGTCACAAGGATTACATATGTGAAGTATGAAAGCCCTAGCATCAACCATTCAAAAGTTATGGCCAAGGTTAAAGTTTTCAAACGTGGGTCAAACTCCTATGTCAAGGTCAAAAGGTCAAAGTGGTTGGCATCCAAACAAAGGTCTTGTCACAAGGATTACATATGTGAAGTATGAAGGCCCTAGCTCTAACCATTCAGAAGTTATGGTCAAGGTTAAAGTTTTTCAAAAGTAGTCAAACTCCTAGGTCAAAGTCAAAGGGTCAAAGAGGTTGATATCAAGAAGAAGGTCGTGTCACAAGGAATACACATGTGAAGTTTGAAACCCCAAGCACCAACTGTTCAAAAGTCTTGGCCAAGGTTAAAGTTTCTCAAAAGTAGGTCAAACTCCAAGGTCAAGGTCAAAAGGTCAAAGTTGTTGGTATCCAAAGAAAGGCCTTGTCACAAAGAATACACATGTGAAGTTTGAAACCCCAAGCACCAACTGTTCAGAAGTAATGGCCAAGGTTAAAGTCTCATAAAATTTTGCAAAAGTGGGTCAAACTCCAAGGTCAAGGTCAAAAGGTAAAATATGATGGTACCCAAAGAAAGGTCTTGTCACAAGGAATACACATGTGAAATATGAAAGTCATAGCTCCAACCAATCAAAAGTTATGGGCAAGGTTAAAGTTGACAACAGACAGACAGACAAACAGATAAACAGACAGACAGGACAAAAACAATATACCCCCGGGATCTTTCGATCCAGGGGCATAAAAAAGTTATTGGAAACAAGAGGCCCATGGGCCACATCGCTCACCTGAGCACATTGGCTAGGCAAAAGCACAAATCAGTTCAGTATTGAAAAGATTCCGGGGGGGGGGGGGGGGGGGGGGGCTTGAATTTTAAACCACCTGATGATGCTTCCATGTCAATATAACAAATGGCTTTATTGTACTTGAGAAGATTTAAAAAAAAATTTTCCCATATATTCCTTTGTAAAAATTTGATCCTCCATTGTGGGGGGGGGGGGGGGGGGGGCTTGAATTTTAAACTACCTGATGTGCTTCCATGTCAATATAACAAATGGCTTTATTGTACTTGAGAAGATTTTAAAAAAATATTCCCATATATTCCTTTGTAAAAATTTGATCCTCCATTGTGGCTCCTCCCTATCCCAGGGGTCATCATTTGAACTTGAATCTACACTACCTGAGGATGCTTCCATATCAATATGACTAAACATAGCTTTCCTGTTCTTGAGAAGAAATATTTTGTCTTTATGTTCTTATGCAAAACTTTCGATCCCCCAATGGGCCCCATCCAACCCCTGGGGATCATCATTTGAACAAAATTGAATCTACACTACCTGAGGATGCTTCCATATCAAAATGACTAATCATGGTTTGCAGTTCTTCATCAGAAGATATTTTCCTATATATTTCTATTTAAGACTTTGATCCTCCATTGTGGCTCCATCCTACCCACGGGGGTCATGATTTGAACAAAATAGAATCTAACTACCTGAGGATGCTTCCCCATAAATATGATCAATCAGGGCTTTGCCGTTCCTGAGAAGAAGATTTTTAAAATTTTTCCTATACATTTCTATGTAAAACTTTGATAGTCCATTGTGGCCCCGCCCTACCCCCGGGGTCATGATTTGAATAAATTTGAATCTACACTACCTGTGGATGCTTCCATATAAATATGAACAATCTGGGCTTTGCTGTTCCTGAGAAGAAGATTTTTCCTATAAATTTCTATGTACAACTTTGATAGTCCATTGCAGCCCTGCCCTACCTCCGGTGGTCATGATTTGAACAAACTTGAATCTACACTACCTGAGGATGCTTCCATATAAATATGACTCATCATGGCTTTGCTGTTCTTGAGAAGAAGATTTTCAAAGATTTTTCCTATATATATATTTCTATATAAAACTTTGATCCTCCATTGTGGCCCCGCCCTACCCCCTGGGGTCATGATTTTAACAAACTTGAATCTACACTACCTGAAGATGCTTCCATATAAATATGACTCATCATGGCTTTGCTGTTCTTGAGAAGAAGATTATTAAAGATTTTTCCTATATATTTCTATGTAAAACTTTGATCCTCCATTGTGGCCCTGCCCTACCCCCTGGGGTCATGGTTTGAACAAACTTGAATCTACACTACCTGAAGATGCTTCCATATAAATATGACTCATCATGGCTTTGCTGTTCTTGAGAAGAAGATTATTAAACATTTTTCCTATATATTTCTATGTCAAACTTTAATCCTCCATTGTGGCCCCGCCCTACCCCCGGGGGTCATGGTTTGAACAAACTTGAATCTACACTACCTGAGGATGCTTCCATATAAATATGACTCATCATGGCTTTGCTATTCTTGAGAAGAAGATTTTTATAGATATTTTCCTATATATTTCTATGTCAAACTTTGATCCTCCATTGTGGCCCCGCCCTACCCCCGGGGGTCATGATTTGAACAAACTTGAATGTACACTACCTGAGGATGCTTCCACTTGAGTTTCATCTTTCCTGGCCCTATGGTTCTTGAGAAGAAGATTTTTAAATGTTGCCATTATTTTTTCACTAATTCCTAATTATCTCCCCTTGAAAGAGGGCATGGCCCTTCATTTGAACAAACTTGAATCCCCTTTACCCAAGGATACTTTGTGGCAAGTTTGGTTGAAATTGGCCCAGTGGTTCTTGAGAAGAAGTCGAAAATGTGAAAAGTTTACAGACAGACAGACGGACAGACAGACGGACGCCGGACAAAATGTGATCAGAAAAGCTCACTTGAGCTTTCAGCTCAAGTGAGCTAAAAACTGAAAATTTGTGAACGGAAGAATGACAGACAGACAGAGTAATTACTATAGGGCATCCACAAATCCTTGCTGGGCCCTAATTAAGATTTTATAAAATGTTTCTCCAATTTAAATTTTTTTATCCTTACAGTATTTGATTTGTAAATATAGTACTGTCCTTTTTAAACATAGGTAATCAAAGATTACGAAGCTCACCTCAACGAAGGTTATCTATAAGTAAGGCAAATCTCACATCATATTTTTTCTAGTTAGTGTTCATCCCAAGATCAATATCCATACAAGTTTGGTTTAAGAAGGACTTACAGTCACTTGGAAATAAACCTGCTCAAAAAAGCTTTAAACCTGTTTACTAATCAAGAAAATTTTGGTCAGTTCCAACATCCAAAGCAAGTCTTGAAGTTTTCATCCTTAGATGCATCATCCATGCAAGTTTAATCACAACATGCCATAATATTATATAGCTACTCCAAAAACATTACCCTGGTCACTCATCTGGAAAATGTAGGTCAGATTCAGAATCCGAAACAAGTCTGAAAGTGTCCATCCTAAGATACATCATCCATGCTAATTTGATTAAAATATGGCTAAAATTCACTCATCTGGAAAATCTTGGTCAGATTCAGCATCCGAAGCAAGTGTGGAAGTGTCCATTCCTAGATGCATCATCCATGCAAGTTTGGTTCAGGTAGGGCTTATAGTTACTTGGGAATGTATCTGCTCCAAAAACTTTAACCTGGTCACTCATCTGGAAAATCTAGGTCAGATCCAGCATCCAAGGCAAATGTGGAAGTATCCATCCCTAGATGCATCATCCATGCAAGTTTGGTCCAGGCCAAAATAAAAAATACCTTTGTTTCCCCTAATGCGTCCGACCCACTTTAATCCCGCCGACTGAAAAGTTTTTTTTAATAAGATTATTCAAATATTTTTTTTTATTGTTTATCAACTTTATTAAATACAATTTCATCAAAATCCATTTTTATCAGAACGGCGGCTCTTGTTCTACTCTGATTTGGCACCCACAATATATGGTCACAGAGAGTTAGTTTGTGTAATTAAACAATGGCGACGTCGACATATCTATCTATCTATATATATATATATCTTTAACTTATTAGAATCCTACACTTTTGAAACATTTTGTGAATTAAATATACCATGACTAAGCAGTGTTTAGATGGTATTTACAAATGTGTCTTCTAAAATTAACATACGTAGTAAGCATGGCAACTACCTCATGAGCAGATGAGGGGTCCACCTTGTGTATACATATCAACAATTTTCACTGCATTTCATTCGTTTTGATCTAATAATCAGTTCATGTATGATCCTATTTTTACTATACAGGATCACAGGAGTATAACATTAGATAATGACATTTTAATCCTTTTTAGATATGGTTTGGTTGAATTAGACATAGTATATACATGTTCATTCTTTCCAAATAGTGTTGAAATCTTTAAAATTGGCTTATGGTACGGCTTCCTCAGACGTCCAGTGTATTTTTCTTTAGCTAGGCCCTTGAAAATAGGTTGTATCTTTGCTTTAAAATCCCTTTAAAAATTGTTGAGCAGACAACATTTGAACATGTGCCTGGTGGAGGGCTCCAAATTTAGACTTTTACTCGGCACTTATGACCATTGATCATTAAGCATCAGTAAGGTATCCTTTTCGTGCCAACATCTATACTGCGACATGAACCTATGTTTTTACGGTGTCGTTCGACTGACCAGTGTCCACGTCCCACATTGGGACCTGAGACTTAGAATAAGCTCCCAAATTACGTCGTGACTCCAAAACGAAATACTAGAATCACTTTGCCACGTGAGGCCCTTGACATTCTGTCTGTGTAAGCACTTGAAGATGATAGTACATGTAGGTTTGGAAAATATACTCGGATGTCCAATGGTTGAGTATTTGCGAATCTTCTCTTTACACTGGCCTGAGACATTTCACAAATTCAAATGAATATTATTTGTGAATTAATTTACCATACATGTTGCTTTTAAATTTCATTTGTATGATATTCAGTTTAAAAATCGGTTTCTTTTGTTCTTTCTTATTTATAAAGATATTATTCAATTTTCCAGAATGCATTTTCAAAAATGCTGTCAGAAAAAAAAGCATTTTACCTACCTACCTACCCAACTTGAGATTTTAGGGTCGGGTTAGGGGAAACAAAGATATTTTTAATGATGGCCCCAGGTAGGGCTTAAAGTTACTTGGGAATAGACCTGCTCCAAAAACTTTAACCTGGTCACTCATCTGGAAAATCTAGGTCAGATCCAGCATCCGAAGCAAGTGTGGTAGTGTCCATCCCTAAATGCATCATCCATGCAAGTTTGGTCCAGGTAGGACTTATAGTTACTTGGGAATGGACCTGCTTCAAAAACCTTAACCTGGTCACTCATCTGGAAAATCTAGGTCAGATCCAGCATCCGAAGCAAGTGTGGTAGTGTCCATCCCCAGATGCATCATCCATGCAAGTTTGGTTCAGGTAGGGCTTATAGTTACTTGGGAATGGACCTGCTCCAAAAACTTTAACCTGGTCACTCATCTGGAAAATCTAGGTCAGATCCAGCATCCGAAGCAAGTGTGGTAGTGTCCATCCCCAGATGCATCATCCATGCAAGTTTGGTCCAGGTAGGGCTTATAGTTACTTGGGAATGGACTTGCTCCTAAAACTTTAACTGGGACGCCGACGCCAACGCCGGGGGTATAGCATAAGCTCATCTCGACTTCGTCGAGGTGAGCTAAAAAGTGTTAGAAAATCAAGACCGCTAAAGTTTGGTAATATTTAAAAATTTTTGACCTGGGTTCAATAATTTTGCTGTTACAAAATTTAAAGACATTATTTTTTTCATTGTAAATATCTACCGATTCACTGAACTTTATCAGATACTGACTGTGGTATATGTATCACATATGTCAACTATAACAGTATTGGACTAGTTTCAAGAAAAAAAAGGTTCTTTTTACAAAATTAAATGCTACATTAAAGCTTGAAATCACGATAAGTTTCTGTTAACTTAATATACTAAAATTAAAATGAATAAACACCAACCCTCATCAATCAGACACATTACACCCAGGACCTTCACCTGGATTACAGCTCCCCGTTTATGAACCTGGGAAAAATAATTAATCATAAATTCTTTTGATACATTTACCTTTTTTTAATGTTATTTTGCTGAAAGAAGAACATAATTTATGTTATATAAAAATAATGAACTGCAACTATATACTGTGGAATCAACATTGTTCGTGGGGGACCAATGTTTGTGGATTTCGTGGGTCACCCTTACCTACGAATTTACATCCCCAAGAACATTTATTTTGTAAGCATACTGATTCGTTGAATCTACAGTATAAACGAGTAACCCATGAAATTACATCCCCTCTAACAAGTAAAATTTTATTTTCCCATGAAAATTTCCCCCCACGAATTAAAAAGATTCCACAGTGAAAAGCATTCTAAAATTAAAGAGTATCAAAATGAAATTACAAATTAAAACAAGAGGCCCAAGGGCCTTAACGGTCACCTGAGTATAATACAACAATTTAGAAGTTAAATACACTGATAGATGAAGCATTGTTGCCCTAGCCCCCCCCCCCTCCTCAAGAACCCCAAAAACTGAGGCCATATATTTAAAAATTTTGGAAGAGGCATCCTTGTCTATCATAATCATGCACTTAGTTTGTTTAAATAATCTCCAGTAGCAGAGAAGTTTTTCAAAGAATCAATGCATTTTCACTATATAATCAATAGAGCCCCGCCCTAACACCAGAACCCCTGACCCTGGGGCCATGAAATTCACAATTTTTGAAAAGGCATCCTTATGCGTTTAAATAGTCTCCAGTAGCAGAGAAGAAGATTTTCAAAGAATCAATGCATTTTCACTATATAATCAATACAGCCCCACCCTAACACCAGAACCCCTGACCCTGGGGCCATGAAATTCACAATTTTTGAAAAGGCATCCTTATGCATCATAACCATGCACTTAGTTTGTTTAAATAATACCCAGGAGCAGAGAAGAAGATTTTCAAAAAATTAAAGCATTTTTACTATATAATCAATAGAGCCCCGCCCTAACACCAGAACCCCTGACCCAGGGGCCATGGCTTTCACAATTCTGGAAGAGGCCCACCTCCTCATCATAACTACGTACTTAGTTACTTTATTAAATACCCAGGAGCAAAGAAGAAGATTTTCGAAGAATTAATGCATTTTCACTATATAATTTATAGAGCCCTGCCCTAACACCAGAACCCCTGACCCTGGGGCCATGAATTTCACAATTTTGGAAGAGGTACTCTTGCTCATCATAACTATGTACTTAGTTCCTTTATTTAATACCCAGGAGCAGAGAAGAAGATTTTCAAAGAATTAATGCATTTTCACTATATAATCAATACAGCCCCACCCTAACACCAAAACCCCTGACCCTGGGGCCATGAATTTCAAAATTTTGGAAGAGGCACTCTTGCTCATCATAACTATGTACTTGGTAACTTTATTTAATACCCAGGAGCAGAGAAGAAGATTTTCAAAGAATTAATGCACTTTCACTATATGATCTATATAGCCCCACCCTGGGGCCAGAACCCCTGACCCTGGGGCAATAAATTTCACAATTTTGGAAGAGGCACTCTTGCTCATCATAACTATGTACTTAGTTCCTTTATTTAATACCCAGGAGCAGAGAAGAAGATTTTCAAAGAATTAATGCACTTTCACTATATGATCTATATAGCCCCACCCTAACACCAGAACCCCTGACCCTGGGGCCATGAATTTCACAATTTTGGAAGAGGCACTCTTGCTCATCATAACTATGTACTTAGTTCCTTTATTTAATACCCAGGAGCAGAGAAGAAGATTTTCAAAGAATTAATGCATTTTCACTATATAATCAATACAGCCCCGCCCTAACACCAGAACCCCTGACCCTGGGGCCATGAATTTCACAATTTTGGAAGAGGCACTCTTGCTCATCATAACTATGTACTTAGTTCCTTTATTTAATACCCAGGAGCAGAGAAGAAGATTTTCAAAGAATTAATGCATTTTCACTATATAATCAATACAGCCCCGCCCTAACACCAGAACCCCTGACCCTGGGGCCATGAATTTCACAATTTTGGAAGAGACAGTCTTGCTCATCATAACTATGTACTTAGTTCCTTTATTTAATACCCAGGAGCAGAGAAGAAGATTTTCAAAGAATTTATGCACTTTCACTATATGATCTATATAGCCCCACCCTGGGGCCAGAACCCCTAACCCTGGGGCCATGAATTTCACAATTTTGGTAGAGGGCTCAATGCTTATCACAATGATGCCAACAGTTTGACTGCTTCATGTCCGGGAGTAAAGAAGAAGATTTTTAAAGATTGCATTATTTTTGGTGGTTTTAGCCCCACCCCTCAGGCCCCGGGGGGGGGGGGGGGGGGGGCAGGGACCATGAAATTCACAATTTTTGTTCCCCTTCACCCATATATGCTATATACCAAATTTGGTTGAAATTGGTTGAGCGGTTCTAGAGAAGAAGTTAAAAATGTTCAAAAGTTAACGCACGACGACGGACAAAAACAGATAGCAATAGGTCACCTGAGTGACTCAGGTGACCTAAAAATACAAACAAAAATAAAATGTCTGAAAGGCTTCAATAACATGAAAAACAACCAAAAGTTTGGGCTTTTGTAATAATATAAAAATAAACAAGTTAAACAAAAGATCCATTATAGACTGGATACTTTAAGCCTAGGTCTGATTAAAACAGGGTTGAATTAACCAGACACATTTGACTGTAAACAAACATTTACTATGATGCTGAAATTCATCTACTTTTTTTTTTAAATATAAATCAACGGAAAAAACTTAAGGAGGATTATTATAATTTTATTAATTAATATCAAAAGCCTTGCTTTTAAGCTTACAAAACATTTTCAGTGAAAGGAACTTAGCTACATTCATTTGGAAATTCCTCTGCACATACCATAAATATACTTTTCCCCCACCCTTCTAAGACAAACACCAGTATCAGCATTTTGTAAATAAATAGTTTGTAGATCATGATAAAACATGCAGTATTCATTGTGTATATTTTCAAATCAAAACGATATGCCCTCTTTTCTTCTGCCATTCATCAACACACTGAAACATTCTGTTTGGGTAAGTTTTTAAAATCCACTCAAGACAATGCCTGGAGAGCTTATGAACTTCAATTGATACCATAACACCCCCCCCCCCCCAAGATATTAGGTACATGTACATTTAAAAAGCATTATGTCCTAAAACATATTCTGATAAAAACTATTCTGTGCAAGTCCCAATAATATTGATATTGAGAATGTATTCAACCTGCAGTTCTCTTTATAATCATTCAACTCATAAATTTATCCTCTAATGCTAAATGATACATTCCCAACATAAACTCTACAGCCCATACACTGTTCAGATAGTTACCTTTTGACCTATTTCACAGACATCCAGAGGGTCATTATCTCCTAGGGTTTTGGTTTCAGGGGTCTCATGCTTTGGATCCTCCCATGTCTAAAGATGCAGTATATACACAAAAGATTACAAATTTTGTAATATCATGTTTGTTTGTAAGGAATTAGTTTCTAATTTAAATCTATTTATTACTTTCAAATGAAAGTACAATTAACAACAACACACTATTTGGACATAGCAAAGACACGTAGCAGCTCTATTGTACAATGTACACATAACATATAAAATATGAAAATCTATATTAAATTATATACATGTATATTGTAATGTTGAATTGAATAAATAAAATTTAAACTTTAATCGTGCTCTATGTGTTGTCCTAAACTGGCATTTAAACAACTATTCACCTCAAATATATCCTTGCTAATGAGACCAGTTCTAAAGAACCACGTGACATTAACCAGGTATTTGAATGAAAACCTTGTAATTCCAAACAAGTAGTTCATTATAACACCAAGTAGAAAATGATTTCTGTCTAATTCATTCCTCAAACAAAAGAAATCATATAATTTGAATATTTTGTAGGTCTAGAATTAAGAAAGTTAAACATGTTCAGAAAATCACCTCATATCTTGCAAAATTGTATACTTACTCTAGTATTTACTACTCATGGAAAAAAACCCTTAAAAACCAAGAGGCCCATGGGCCACAATGCTCACATGAGTATCTATGGCCCTTCTGTTTTTCATCAGCAGATTCTTTCTTTCTCAGATTCTAATGTAAAACTTTTATCACATATTATGGCCCCACCCAACCCCAGGGGGTCATGATTTGAACAAACTTTAATCTACACTACCTGTGGATGCTTCCATATAAATATGACTAATCATGGCTTTGCCTTTCTTGAGTGAGAAGGAGATTTTTGAGACACCCCCCCCCCCCCCACTGTAGATTGCTATATTTTTGTGCCAACTTATTTTCGCAAGGTAGCTATCTGGTATTTATAAGCGAGATAAAATTTTCACAAGATGTGATTTTTGTATATATAATCCTTAACATTTACAAATATATATTATTTATTTATAGAATAAAATTTTCAAGAGCAGACAAACTCATGTAATTACGCGAAAATAAAGTTCTCATGAATAAAAAGTGCTTTACAATTAAATATTCCTTTGTATAACTTTGATAGCCAATTGTGGCCCCACCCTATTCCTGGGGGTCATGATTTGAACAGAATTGAATCTACACTACCTGCAGATGCTTCCATATAAATATGACTAATCATGGCTTTACTTTTTCTGGGAGGATACCTCCTATATATTTCTATGTAAAACTTTGATCCCCCATTTCTGCCCCACCCTATACCCAGGGGTTATAATTTAAACAAACTTCAATCTACACTGCCTGAAGAGATTCAATACAAATATGACTGATCATGGATTTGCTACTCTTAAAAAGATTTTAGAAGATATTTTCTAGAGACTTTTACAGATAACTTTGTTTCCATGTTGTGGCCCCACCCTACACCCAGGAATCGTGATTTGAACAATCTTGAATCTACACTGAGGATGCTTCAGTATAAATATAACTAATCTTGGCTTTGCTGTTCTTGAGAATATTTTTGTAAAGAATTTTCCTATATTTTCATATGTACAACTCTGATCCCCTGTTGTGGCCAACCCTACCCACAGGGGTCATAATTTGAACAATCTTGAATCTATACCAGCCGAGGATGCTTCTATATTAATATGACTAATAGAAATAATGGCTTTGTTGTTCTTGAGAAGATTTTTAAAGATATAACTTTGATCCCCTGTTGTGGCCCCACTCTATCCATGGGGATCATGATTTGAACAAATTTGAATCTACAGTATGTAAAGAAGCTTTCACATAAGATTCAACTCTTCTGGTTCAGTGGTTCTTGAGAAGATTTTTAAAAGATGCCACCAAATTTTCACAAATTATTAATTACCTCCCCTTGAAAGAGGTTGGAGCACTTCCTGTGAACAAACTTAAATCCCCTTCACACAAGGAAACTTTGTGGCAAGTTTGGTTGAAATTAGCCCAGTGGTTCTGGAGAAGAAGTAAAAAATGTGAAAAGTTTACAGACAACACATGACAGACGGACACCAGACACTTTTTGATCAGAAAAGCTCACTTGAACCTTTAGTTCAGGTGAGCTAAAAACAAATCGTCTGTGAAGTTTAGTCTTCACTTCAGTAAAGCATCCTGCTATACCTGTGGAAAAGCACCATAATTCCAAATGTAGCCGTGGTGTGGAAAAACATTCTTCACAAATCTCAAAGCTCCCTTTTTAACATCTTGCTTAATGGGGTTCAGTTTCTCCTCCTTGCATATCTAAAAACAATCAAAATCAATTAACTATATTGTTAATCCATCGATGAAAAATGGCTCATACACAATCAACAGATTGTGCATACTTGATTTAGGCCTGAGTATCGCAATACGATACGTATCACGATACAGACATGCAATACACAATGTATAATGACACAGGTGTCAATAATTGAACAAACTGATATCTTTACACATTTCTGTGTTGCAAACCTCCACAGTGGTAGAAAATATGAAATGAATATCTTAACATTGCTTACAAAATTTATCACGGTGAATCCACAGTCTCAAGATTTATCATTCAAAATTTACCTTGTTTTCCTCCATTTGGGAACATGTCAATACGTTAGGTTTTACATAGATTTTTCAAGTGAGACAATAAAAATTAACTCTTACCATATCACAATACATATCTAATAATATGATATGCGTATTTTGAGCTCATGTGATCAATGTATCGCTGTATCGTTACACCTCTATACTTGATATACATGTATCTACTTGAACAAGCTTGTCAGCTCATATAGGACTTTAACATAATGCAATTACTCAGAGGTAATTGAAGTAAATGAAGTACATGCATAATGGAGATCTTTCATTTATTTATGGAATTATTTAATATTAGGATCTCATCAAGGATTTTTATACCTCCATTTTACTATTTGTCCAGCGAGGAATTTCAACCACCATATTCAGGACAGTCTTCTCTGTGTTGGCAAAAAGAGGAATGTCATGGAATGGAGAAACAACATTTCCACTGGGGCCACCTGTAAAACATGACATAGAGATATTGCTTTGTGTACAACAGCTCATATGGTGCAGTAAACCTTTCAATACTGATATAATTAAGATTTTTAAAATGTATTTTGAAATCTAAAAAAAATTTATGTCTTGAAAATTTAAAGAACATGCATAGAAATATTTTCCAGCTTTTTGATGTCTTGAGTCAGATTTCAATTGCATTTTTTTTAGTACATGTAGTTTATATAGTAGTTATATATATATATATATATATATATATATATATATATATATATATATATATATATATATATATATCTATATATTTATATTTATATATATATATATATATATATATATATATATATATATATATATATATATATATATATATATATATATAATATACTACTATATATACTACATGTACTAAAGAGAAACTAAACATATCTGCCAGATTGGAGCTCCAACCTAAAGCCCCCCCCCCCCCCTTTTCCCCCCACAATTTAAGCCTTTAACAGTAAAATCTTCACCGAGACCATCATAATTAATTTCTTTGGTGTACATATTGAACTTAGACTGTGTCATTAGCAGAGAGGTCAATCTAATATAATAAAAAAAAGTTTATATATGTAATGTGGAAGACTGTGACATTTACAGACTAGAGGTCAATCTAATATAATAATATAAAAAAACTGTTAGACTTAATGTGGAAGACTGTGACATTTACAGACTAAAGTTCAAACTAATATACCAATATGAGTAGCTGTTAGATGTACTGTGGAAGAAACCAGGTTCTAGATCAGGTTTTGAACCCAGTCCCCTTATCAATCAAGAGAAGTGCTCTACTAATTTATTAAAGCGAACTGGCCATAATTCAGTCTATGCGAAAGTCTAAAATTTTTACAGGACATACGGTCTGGTAAAAATATATATTTTACCAGACCAAGAATTCACTTACCAGCCGACCTTTTTCTTTAAATTCATACATCATTATGATACAGAGATTGAAAAGAGGGGGGGGGGGGGGTATTCTCACTGTTAAATTGAACCTTAAATAGATCCAGAGTTGAGATTATTTAAAAAAAATTATTTAATTGAAATGAACAAACTTATTATCGTTTCCTTTTTAAAAGGTAGTACATATGACAAATGCATACAATTTTCTCTTTTTCTGGTTATTTGACACATACAAACGAAGTATACAATGTCAAAGATTTTTTTTCTAAAACTTAAAATGCACTTTAAAATATATTTATTTATTTCCTGAAGTAACTCATAATAGTTACTCTTGTTTAATAATGAAAATAATCTACCCAACCGAATCTACGTATGTGCTATCTATAGATCTATATTCCATGACAGAGGAAATTCGAATTAGAAATAACCGATCATGACAGGGTTGATATAGATTAAAATTAATCATGCATCACTGCTAAATGGATCGAATAAAGGATATGTGTGGAAAATAAAACCATATGAACATGTAAATTCAGATTTTTAGGCCTTATTTTTTCATCGGATATTTGGTCCTGTATCCTGAATTTTTTTACCGACCCGAACCAAATTTTACCGGTAAAAACCGACGGTCCGGTGACTTTCGCATAGACTGATAATTAGCAAACAAATCCTTCACAAACCTTCACAACACATATGTAACAGCTGTTCATTATAATTATGACCAGTTTTTGTTGCTGTTATAAGATAGAGTTTTGTAAAATGTGATGACCTACTGAACATAGTTGTAAATTTATTTATTTTGACTTGTCTGTACATCATTGAATTCAAATGTGGATGAAACCAATGTGGAAATACCTAAAACAATCAAGAAATGTTTGTGAAACACTGCTGCCCCTGTATGGCAGCTTATTGCCAATGTTAAATTCTTTCAAAGTCATATAACTCCAAGGTCAAGGTCATGAGGCCAACCAGATGTCTATGATGAGACTGTAGCTCTACTGGTTTGTATTTATAACAAAGGAAGAGAAGAATAGCACTTGCACTTGAAACTATGCAACAGCAACATATAGGATAATGATCCTTGGTTTAGTCTCTTTGTGGCAAGATTTATTGCAATCAGATTAAAACTGTTGGATGAGTAGCCTTTTGAAAGAATTTCACCAAAATTTCTATTTTTAGTAATCATAGCAACACCTTTTATCATAGTCAAATACTGATGCACTGATTTATGTATTTTAGAGTAGTCTACTTGTGTGCAACATTATATTGAAATCAGATCAAGACTGTAAGAGGAGTAGGATTTTGGAAGTATTTTACAGAAATTTGTATTTTAAGTAACCATGGCAACACTATAATTCCAAATTAAATATTGATACACAGAATTATTTATCTGAGTTTGAAATCTTGTGGCCTGTCCAAGTTATATTCAAATCAGATCTAAACTTTATGATAAGTAGTGTTTTGAAAGTATTTCACAAACATTTCTATTACAGTAACCATGTAGTCCGAATTTCCTCAATTCCTCTGTTTATTGTAAATACGTCTAAATACCCCATAAAATTATTTCCTGACTCAGTAAACCAAAGAATGGGTGTTGGTTTAATTTATATCACATAAAAAATATAATTACAGTAAATTTAAATTTTTAACATGAAAAAAAGTCAATGTTCACTCTATAATCTATAGGTATGCACTTTTGCAAAAGGGGATAGAAAGATAGTTAATGTATATAAAATTCAGTGATATTTATGCATGACTATTGATTAACTAGTACATTTTTTTTAATAAGGTAAAAAATGTTGGTACCCATAGAAATTTCTTGCCACAAGGAATACACATGTGGAATATGAAAGCCTTAGCACACATCCTTCAAAAGTTATGACCAAAGTTTAAGTTTTTGCAGGCAACAGACATAAAGACCAAAAATTGTATGCCTGAATCTCCAATTACGCCTGCATAAAAAAGTGTTTTCCTTTTCAAATTACAAGTTAAACACCCTTCAAATATTTACTGCCCTGTTCATAGACATTGAATTAGGGTAATTTTACATGGAGTGGTTCTGGATGTAATTTGTAAAACTGATCAAACAATAGCCTTGGTATGATCTTGGTAGAAAAATTGCCACAACTGAAGATACAGTCTATACGTAGGGCAGGTTTTAATGCAAATAAACATGACAGACACTGTATAAGACATCACAGAGATAACAAGTAAGTTTAAACCTTCAGTTACAATACATGATACATTATCATTACATCTGTAATCTATATATATTACATAATACAGATTGCAGGCAAATAAGATACAAAATATGCATTTGGAGTGGAAAAAATGTAAATGCACACCTTAAATCCTTATCAAGAATTCCAAATATAGGACTCTGTCATCAAATTGATTTTTGCATTTTAAAGAGAAAGTTGAGTTTTCTAATGAAGCACACATTGTACTTTCACAGCCATTTCGCAATAAAACTGGTATTTGCCAACTGAATTATGAATATCGAATTAAAATAATTGACCAAGGAAATGCTTATAATTTTGGTTTGAAATAATTTGATTTATGTGTTGATATTATATTTCAATTATTGCAATAAAAGACTAAATTCCAAATGTACATCATGTACATAGGGATTTAAAGTTAATTTTTTTTTTTTAATTTGTGAAAAATAAGTTATGTAATATAAACAATTATCACTGGCCTGCTTAAAATACTACCCCCCCCCCCCCCAAAAAAAAATAAATAAATAAAAAAAATATATTATTTGAGAGAAAAAATTCAAATGACTTCATAATTTCCTTAGCTAAACTATTAATGTTATAAATCTTTGAGGTCAGTTTTTAGTTGCAGGAAATAAAATTCAAGTATTTATTTAGCAAAGAAAATTCTGAACAATAGTCCCTTAATATTATGGAATTTTTTTTAATCCAAACCCCTGTGTCATGTTTGTGTATCTTTTAACTTGACCAAGGAATGTTACTCTGTTTTTAATGCAAATGGCAGGTGAACTTTCTGTCGGAGCATGTTCAGAAGCAGGTCTGTATTGAAATTTTGGTTTCATTTATGAGGATATCTTATTTTACTAAAAATGAAGTCTACATGGTTAACTTTATTAAGGTATTAGGGGTGTAATGGTCATGACCTTGAATATGACTAAATTCAGTTTAGTTATAATGGACAACACTTCAGGCAATATTTCCCCAAATTTCATGCAATTCTGTCCAAACATAATTTTTCTATACTTATTTTCATGCCTCTACCCTCTAACCACTGGTGCACCTTTAATAGACAAAAGGTACAGATGTAATTTTTACCTCTACTCTAGTTAGTCGCAAACAGTTGAATGTTTCATGCATTCAGCTGCAACACTAAGCAGTACAGATTGCATATATGCATTCTTTTTAGTTCAAATTCATCAGGTATGATATATGAAAACTTGTACACGAGAGAACTTGACTACTTTGAGTGACAATTTTGGCGATTTTTTTCATAAAACCATTTGTAATATTCTGTCAAAGAAAAATATGGTAGGAAAGATCAATAAAAGAACAATATCAATTTTGTGTAAGGTGTGTTTGTGATAATATAACAACAACAAAAATTTATTCCATCCACAATATTTATCAATATTCTGTATCATAGCGATGTACTCCTAAAAATTTAAGCCATTATTTTTTGTAAATGTCATGGGATATGTGATACTTAATGAAATAATAAGCATATATAAACAACAGGTTATTGTCATATTGAATACACTTCACTTTAGTCAGATTCATTTGTTCAGAAGATTGACCTCGTCACAGTGACCTTGACCCAGACAAAGATTTGCAAAATGACCTACGTTTTTGCAGCTTCCATGTGCATGAAGTTCTTTACATATCAAAACATTAATATACAATGTAGACTAAAATATATACTGACAGAAACACTAATCAAAAGGTAAAAAAAAAAAACTAATTTGTTCCCCACATGTATATAAAAAATATCAATAAAAAATATTTACCCCCCCCCCCCTTCTAAACAGTAAACTTATGTAAAAATAAATAAATAAATAACTTAATGTAAATAAAATAACAAAAATCACCCTAACCCAACCCAGAATAAATCATTTATTCCCATATCTAATATAATTTTTTTTTCTTAAATGTTGTAAACATATTTACATTATTTTTTACTGATATATTTTGAACATCTCAGATATTTTACGTACATGTATGGACACTGAACATCACTTATAAATTGCAGATTCTACAATGCACGCAATGCTACCTATTATGTACATTTTTCCCCCTCAAACGGTTTGCTGATATTGAGAGTATCGCAAGAAATTGCGATGCGAATGTAAAGTTTTGAAGAAAGGTATACTTCTTTCGTTCGTCGAAAATGGTGCTATTTTTAGAAGTTGGAAAAACCCATGAAGTGTGTATTCGAAGGTATCATCGTTTTTACTGCATATTTTGTCAGACAAATTATATTAACGTGTTTTCTACGTATTATCATATTTATTCTCTCCTCCGCTAAGTTATATTCCTTTTCTTTGGTGTATGTTTTATGTTAGCGTCCTAGGCCGTCCTGACAACACACCATTTTGGTTTACGAAGTACATGCTGATGTCAGACACCTCGGTAAATGCCGTCATTTTTACCGGAAATGGCGTATTACACCTCTAATACCTTAAATGTAACCTTTAATGAAAGTTCAAACTAAATAAATAATATATAATCAATTGTATGTTTCCAATTCAATTATCAATATAAAAAATCTTGAGTGCTTTAATCATGTTTATTACTGAACATGTCGAAATGTAAATTTCTTAATTTAATGAATATTAATGGCAAAATGAATTCATGTCATCGCCAGACAACTCATTCACTGTATCACTGCAGCAAGAATATCAAGTATCTAATTATAACAATAAAATAAATTCTTTTTGTGATAACAAAAAAAAAAAATCTTTTTGAGATATTTTTCTCTTTTCACTATGGAACCAACTCTTGCTCTTATCTCCCCCCCCCCCCCCTTTTACACGTGGGACAAAAAAACCCATCTTTCTAATAATAAAAAAAGATTACGAAATAGAGCATAATTTTCTTGGAAGAGTTAACTCTGGGAAAAAAGTCAAAGTAATAACTTCAGAAAGCAATTCCTAAGAAACAGCGAAAACATCTTACTAAAAAACACTCGATATTCCAAAGAATTTGGACATCCTCTTTCCACTGTACCGTACGACATTTTGACTTGAGTTGAAATGCTGAAGTGTCTTGCAAAAACCCTTTTACAACAAAATGTAGCTGGTGTTGCAAAATTTGCTGTCTGAAACTTCTTCTGCTTGACTTGACAGAGAAGACGTCCTATTCCTCTCAACTTGTCTACGCGTTGCATCGAAAGGAAGTTGACAGTCTTCTACAGATTGGTAAGTGCGCGCGCAAACGGCAAGCGGTAAATGTAGCACTGCCGACTCCCGATTCTCACGAATTTTTGTTCATTTTATATACTTTATACTGATTTACAGAATCGCTTCATACTTGCCATGCACATTTTATGCATTAAAATACATTCATGCAATCAGCATACATAAATTTATCAACTATGTTACGTATAATGTGATAAATCAAGAACTTTTGATTTCTGACCCCGATTGTTCCGGATTGCGTCTTTTCAATAATGAAAAAATAGAGTGATCGATCTTAAAAAAAAAAAAAAAAAGCATTCCCTTTTGATGGGGCACACCCGCCGTAAGCCCTATATTTATATTGATCAGGTAGAGTCAAGACGGAATGTTCCGTAGTAAAAATTTAGCATTAAAAAACAAAGGCCTAACATTTGATATGAAATAGGTCAGTCAAAATAATTTAAATACGACCTAATAATATTTGTTCATTATAACGACCATTGGATTTACGAAATCCTGACTTAAAATGAGGTTGTTGAAATCCCTGTAACATCAACATATCTGTCAGTAGCTTGTATCGGTTTAAAATTGATCGAATGCGCTTGAGTATCGAATAAGTATCGAATAAGTTGGGAGACATAAACACCATATGCAGGTGATAGCGGAATACAACTACATAAACAAGCATTCTGAGAGTATTGCATTAGCAATACTAGTCCCCTACCGGCAAGTGTAATCTGGTTCCCGTTAAGAATCGAAAATGCCATAAATCCGTCAAAAATCAATGAAGCAGAATGAAATGCAAACTTGACCTATAACTAATCAAGGTAAAGTGACTTACCAAAAATCAGCTAAATATCTGAAAGCATTTAGAAGAAAATTGCGGAAAACCCCTAAAAATTGAAAAGGCCGCAATTCCGTCAAAAATCAATGAAGCGGAACGAAATGCAGACTTGATCTGTAACTCATCAAGATACACTCACATACCAAAAATCAACTCAATATCTGCAAGCGTTTAGGAAAAAAGTGCGGAAAACCAAGTGGGACAGACTGACAGACAGACAGAGGGACAGACAGACAGACGGACAGACTCAGAGGAAACCTATAGTCCCCTCCGGTTTCACCGGTAGGGGACTAATAAGGACAGGCTTTAATATTCCCTTGCATCCAGGTCCTGTAAAAGGACCCCGCCCCAATTGAAAATTTACACTTTCTAATGTCAGTGGCGGATCTAGAGGGAGGGGGCCGGGATTTACAACCCCCTTTTGGATTTGCTAAGAGAGAGAGAGAGAGAGAGAGAGAGAGAGAGAGAGAGAGAGAGAGAGATTTGTTGTTTTATTTTTCCAGAAAAGGTTTCGTCTGGTTTTACCACATAGTATTGAGCAGATAAAAAAGTGAATAGTTATGATGAGCAAGGGTGCTTTTTTTTTTCAAACTTGTAGTCCCAGGGTCAGGGGTTCTTGTGTTTCGGGGAGGGGGGGGGGGGTTTGATAATATAGTAAAAATGTGTTAATTCTTTGAAAATCTTCAACTAAGTACATAGTTATGATGATGAGGGTACCTCTTCCAATTGGGTTCTGGTGTTGAACTGTGTTGAATCTGTAGAAAATGCATTATTTCTTTATTTCTTTGAAAATCTTCTCTGCTCCCGGGCATATCGGAGGCAAACAGAGTAAATGTTTTAATAAGCAAGGGTATTTTTTACCAGATTTTTGAACATATGGACCATTTGGTCAAGTGTTCTGGTCCTGTCCAGGGCTCTATTAATTTGTATTACATGTATACTGAGAGAAGTTATTCCCCTTTGCCATTCACCTATGATAATTAATCACTGTAAATAATATATTTAAAAGGTAAAGAGAATTATGCCAGGGACCCATAAACTAAGTACTATACTTAGTATATAGGTCCCTGATTACGCAAGAATTTTTATTGTATGACACAAAAAGTGCTTCATAGTTTTAATGATCCAGGTAGACTTGACGAATAATGGATAAATAAAAATGTGACAAAAATTACTTATTAAATGTTCTTCAAAGACCTAGAGAGGCCAATATTGGGTTAAAATTAGTACTAAAGTACTAATATTTTGTTATAGTCTGCATGCATGGTGATAGTAATAAATAATTCGGCACACCGCAACCGATTCGTATCATCTAAACTTCGGCTGTATCAGGTAAACCACCATTTAACCGGGGCTACTTTATAGACAACAAGGCTGCGCCCTGTATTACACGTGCACAGTGTGCTGAATTCCATCCGTTAACAAACATGTGATTTTATAAAGATACTATATGCATGTTTCTAAGTAAGTGTTTTTCTTAGTGTTGCCTTACTGCTCTTAAAGATTTTTGTTTGTCAGATGTTTGTTTATTACCGTTTTCAAAGCGTTTCCCTTTCCCTAATAAGCAGTAAACAGACAAATGTTAGGCGGAGACGCATATCAAGTTACGTCGTACAGTCGAGGTTTGATCATCCAAGGTTTGCCGAATGAGTGATCAATGGGGGACAGATTAGAACTTACTTTATGAGTTGTTACTGGATACTTGATAATTATTCTGTTGATCCTGAACATCCTATTTCGTCTGGGCAACAAAGCTTTATCTATCAGCTTATTTTATACTCTATGGATCCCCTAAATTGATGTATTATACTCAGATGACCGTTAAGGCCCTTGGACCTCTTGTTAACCGGTTTTGTCGTATACATGTATTTGTATATATATGCAGGTGCATTGGAGGGTAATCTAAGGGTCTTAATAAATCGATCAAGTGGAGTAGTGCAAGGGCATACCCTCAATGGATCATGACAGGCTTTTCATAATGAACTCTAGAAGTATTAAGCTATTTGAAAGGTCCTGCGATCCTGTTGAAATCGTGAAAATGAATTATTTCTATATTTAATGCAGCTGACCAGCAAAAAAATCCAGTATTGTGGTCATACAAATATGATTTTCACAATGAAATAGTAGAATCTACATAATATGATCGCAGCACTTTTCACAAACTTCAATGGGTGTTGAAAATAGTTATATATTAAACATAGAATTTTAACTTGGTTATGCCCTTGCACTATTGAAATTTATTAATTTGATGACCTCAACACTGCGGGTACCTACCTACCTACCTACCTAGTCCTTGTTGCACCCGGAGGCACATTGGGCAAGGACTAGGGATTTCCATTCTTCTCTGTTCTTAGCTGTCCTCTCCACCTCTCCCCAGGTAAGATTCATTTCCTTCAGTTCTTTTTCAACGGTTCGCGTCCATGTTTTTGGTCGGCCTTTCCTCCTTTTCTCTTCTGGGGTCCATCTTAGTGCCACTCGTGTGATATCGCTTGTTGGCTTTCTTAAGACATGGCCAATCCATCTCCATCTGTATTTTCTTAGTAATGTCCTCATATCGGTTGTTTTTGTTGTTTCATATAGATTTTTGTTGGTAATATTTGCTGGCCAAAATTTTCTCAAGATCTTCCTGAGGCACCCATTATGGAAACTTGAAAGTTTGTTTATATCACTTTCTGTCATCCTCCAGCATTCAGCACCATGCATTAAGACAGACAGTACACAGCTATTATACAGCTTGATCTTAGTGTGTCTGCTGATGCTGTTTGACTTCCATATATTCTTAAGCTTGACAAAAGATCCTCTGGCTTTACCCAATATTGCTATTATGTCCTTGTCAGCACCGCCATCTGATGTCACTACAATTCAGGTATGTAAAATATGATGTATTTTTAATTTTAACATCTTTTCCCTTCAGTTGTATTTTGGGTGGGATTTTTATATTTAGGGACATTACTTCTGTTTTCTTTATGTTGATATTCAAACCGATTTTGGTGGCATTTATTTGTAAATTAGATGTTTTTCTTTGCATTTGTGTTTCCAGATGCGATAGTAGAGCCAGGTCATCTGCATAATCTAAGTCTTCTAGATTGCTGAAAAGAGTCCACCTGATCCCTGTACGTGTTGTCTTTACTGAGGGTTGATCTCATTACCCAGTCTACTTATGCTGTCTGGAACAGCTAGCTAAACCTCACACCTCACACCTCATACTTGATCATTGAAGAACACATGGTAACTGGTTCCATATTTATTAACAAGCGAATTCATATTCCAATCAGTGAATGAGCGAATGAGCCTAGGTGAGTGAGACAAAGTGAGCCTATGTGAGTGAGCCTAAGTGAGCGAGTGAGTCTACACGAGCGAGTAAGCGAATGAGGTAAATAACTGAAATAAACAAAATCAAATACTATAATACTGATATACCAAAAAGACAATAACGGTGTTCCATAGAAATAGCTCACTTATAAACCTTATCATAATAACAAATTACTATAAAGCATATTAGATAAATTGAATAACAATAACTAATTCTCGTGACTTCAGTGACTTTAAACTTTACAAAAAATACCGGTCTGAATAAGTTTTCAATACACAAAAACTCTATAAATAATCACCAAAAAACTTTACAAATAATAGGTATGAAGTTACAAAAGTTTCCTATAAAAACTTACATGGTAATAGGCCACAAATCGTAAGAAGGTAGAATGTTACATGTACATCCTCATGGATGGAACTCTAATGGCAGACTGAATGAAAACTTGCACGAGAAAATGAGGGAGATAACTCCTGACACAAAAGATTTCCACTCAAGGAAGATAATTCAAAAATTTACAAAGAAGGATAACTCTTTCTGATATCTGAATAATACACATATTTCACTCCGTATAATTACACAAAAAAGCAAACAAAAATAAATAAAAAATAAGAACTGTGACAGCACACTCCCCGTCTGATGTTTCTAACATCACATATACAATTACAAGCTATACATCAATGTCATTGGATAGTAGCAGCACCATCTCTGTAACTGGACGAATGAATGTTGACGACTGGCAACCGCGTTTCGCGACACGAATTTCAGCTTTATGAACTTTCCCGTCATCACTGGGAAACACTTTCACAATGACACCCATAGGCCAAAGGTTACGATGAACATCTTTATCGCGAAGTAACACAATATCACCT